AAGTTATTCAATGTTCCCACTAACTCATGTTGCATTAACTAGTGTTAACAAGCATGAATTTGGATAACTGTGTTTAATAAATACTGCACAAGTATTGTTTATTATTAGCTCATGTTAGTAAATACATTAACTAATGAAACTTTATTGTAAAGTGTAACCATGCAACTTTCGACTGATGCAGCATCTGATTTGGGACACCTAAACATATGTAATATACAGTCAAGCCTGAAATGATTCATATACCTAGGGTATCTATATACAGTTGAAGTCAGACTTATTAGCCTCCTTTGAATTCTTTCCTTTTTTAAATATTTCCCAAATGATGTTTAACAAAGCAAGGAAATTTTCACAGGATGTCTGATAATATTTTTCCTTCTGAGAAAAAGTCTTATTTGTTTTATTTCAGCTAGAATAAAATCAGTTTTTCATTTTTCAAACACCATTTTAATGTAAAAATTATTAGCCCCTTTTGGCTAATTTTTTTTTTTCCGATAGTCTACAGAACAAACCACTGTTATACAATAACTTGCCTCATTACCCTAACCTGCCAAGTTAACCTAATTAACCTAATTAAGCCTTTAAATGTCACTTTAAGCTGTATAGAAGTGCCTTGAAAAATGTCAAAAATTATTTACTGCCATCATGGCAAAAAGAAAATAAATCACTTTTTTGAAATGAGTTAAGAAAACTATTATGTTTAGAAATGTTTTAAAAACATTTCGCTCCGTTAAGTAGAAATTGGGTAAAAAATAAACAGAGGGTATAATAATTCAGAGGGGCTAATAATTCTGACTTCAACTTTATATATCTAAAAGTAAAATAAATTACTAAATGAGATTGCTCATGTTTCACAGAAGGAAGCTTCGATATTCATCCTGTGGTACCAGGAAAGCAGGCAACACAGAGAAAGACCCGTCAGGTGTGGATCTTCCACCAGAGCAGCAGGAACTTTCCATGCAATGGCACCACAGCCCAGAAAGCCCATTACTGCGCCGCCTGGGCAAGATCAGCAGTTCAGAGTGTAACAGTTCTGATGAACTCACTAACCCTCTGTCAGAGCAGGAGGACAGTGCTTATCGTTCCAGCACCAGTGAAGTCGCTCCACATGAGTCACCGGGTCCCAATCGCTCTAGTTACCCATGGGAAGAATCAGCCATCCAATCAGGACCCTCGATTGCAAGCCACTCCAAACACGCTCAGCGACCGATCGAGATAAAGACTCCACCTTTCCGCCCCAGAATCTTACAGGAACCATCTCAAACAGCTTCAAGAGCATCTGGCCGTGGTGCTCCATCATCTTCACACAGTGGCGCAGTACACAGGCGAATGGAGATCAATGGCACGTGCCCCAGCTCGTCAGACGTGAGCTCAAAATCGGGATCAGACCAGGAAAGAGGGGAGCAGGTGTCCAGCGAGCCCGAGGGTTGGGATAAGCCATCTTCTTCTGTGTCTCCAGGATCTGGAGTGGCGCTGACCACTTATTTCTCTGTGGATAATTGCATGACAGACACCTACAGACTGAAGTATCACCACCAGAGGCCATTGGTCCTCTCCATGCCTGAGCCTAGAGGAGCTGGTAAGGACGGGAGGGATGCGGGACACTCCAGCCGCATGGAGAACCAGTCTGAGCGTGCCAAAAATAAGCCTGAGTCCGGTATGGTAAAGCTTGGCTGAACTGCATTCATATATTGATTTTTAGTGACATTGACTGACCAATCAAACGTTTGGGGTCAGTAAGATTTGTTTTTATTCATTCTTTTGAAAGGTGTCTTATGCTTACAAACGCAAGTTCATGTGGTTTGTAAAAAATATCTATATAATATTGCAATTTTTGTATTATTATTAATTAAAAAAAAATTATTTTCAATTTTTCCTGTGATGGCAAAGCAGACTGTAGAATTCATTGGCATGCGATTCTACAAAAATTATTCTAATATGCTGATTTGGTGCTCTTACTATGATTCATGTTTAAAATGGTTCTGCTGAAAGTTCTCAAAATTTTATTTGCAGTAAAAATATTTCCATATTTAACATTAAAAAAGTTTACAGCCATTTTCGCAAAACTTCAATTCATTTTGCTAAATAGAAATATTATTCTTCATTCTTTTTCCTTCGGCTTAGTCCCTGACTATCAGGGGTCACCACAGCGGAACAAACGGCCAGAAATATTAATGTCTTAAAAAAAATCTTACTCACCTCAAACGTTTGCTTTTAATCAGTAGTAAAGCTTTAATAACATACTAACTGTAGTTAGTAGCTTAACCAAACTAAATGATCCTTTCCAGGCAATAGCAACAATAAGCCCACTGCTAAATGGCACCCTGTCACTTCAAAAGGGCTAGATGAACATGGATATTTGTGAAAGTTATGGTAAGTCCTCACTAGGCTTTCAGATATTGTTATCTGTTGGTCTACATCTACTGTAAAAGTTTGGAATAATACAATTCTTTAAGAATTAATCAATATTGCACATTTGTTTTAGCAATGTACTAATTAAATTATACGTTTTTACTAACAAGTTTCAGTATGTTTGTTAGTTTATGCACTAGAATCCAATATTGAACAACATTTATTAATTGTTTAACCTTATTATTAAATATTTAATACATTTATGAAATATGTAACCTAAATTACTTAATTTAGTAAAAACGTTACACACTGTTAGTTAATAAATCATACTGGATGATCTAAGTTTATGAAAACAATTGATAAATAATGATTCAGTACTTTATCACAGTCTATTTTTTGAAACAAGCCTATATGTGCAGTGCTAGTCATTATTGTGCACTGAATATACTTTAAGTTTTTATATATACATCAACATACATACATACATACATACATACATACATACATACATACATACGTACATACATACATACGTACATACATACGTAAACATTTTTAAGTACAACTAATGTATACATTTTTTTAACTGTCTAAAATATTTGTGTAGTTTGAAAATAATCCACATAATGAATAAGGGTCTTCGCTACCAAAATTCTTTATCTTTTTTGGTAAATGTGTTTGGTAAATGGGTAAATATTATATAATTTAATATAAAATTTAATTTGAAATAAATACGATCATCTTGAACCAGCTGTGATGTATTTACGGGATCTCTTGCATGACAAGAACTGCATATACTGTATACTTGATGCTTCAGTCTAGGAAAAGACTTTTATTTGTCAGCTGAGGTCATGTGGACTATTTTAAAACTGCTTAAATATGGATTTTTTAACAGCAAATATGAACTACATATACTGTAGAGCCCTGTCTTGCATTATAAGTAGAGGGTAGGTTTCTTTTAAAAATTCATTTCTCTTGGAATAAAGAAAAAAAGTCAAATACATATTACTATATATAGTAAATTAATACGAACAAGAACATTGACACGGCTTGACTATTCATACTTTGTAACAACGTGCTTTGAAAGCACCAACCTGTTTGAGACATACTGTGTAACCTAGCAACAAAATTAAGTCATATATGTACAATATACATACTGAGTTTGTGTATTCATACTTTTTTCCCAGTACTTTATATAAAGACCATGCAGAATAATCTGTAGTCTTCTTTCTTATCAGGTCCTGGTGACCCACTGAGAAGTAATGCAAGAGAATTGCCAAAGAAGTTGAAAAATATGGATTGTTTTTCTACTTGTAATTTCAATGTATTTGAGACTGAGGGCAGTGTAACAGAGACTCATCCTTTTGTACCCTCTTCCTGTAAATTGTGACCTTCGAGTATCTTATCAAAGCCATCCACAGGAGGGCAGTATGCACTTTGGCTTAATTTTTGTTTGCTTGTAAACAGGAATGACGATTTTATGCTGAATAACAAAATTATTTATTATCTATTATTGAATTGTGACAGATTTTATATATATATATATATATATATATATATATATATATATATATATATATATATATATATATATATATATATATATATATAAGAAAGAAGTATTTTAGTCTTAAAGACAGAGTCTTAAAGACTAAGACAGCAAGCAATTGTGTCGACTTTAATTTCATTGCAAATGGACCTTTGTACATACTCCCTAGAGGTTATTTGTGGAGTGCCTTCCTGCAATTTTATTCATGCAAAATATTGACCTAACTAAAAATGAACAAATAATGTAATATTATATCTGCTATATATTTTTGGAGATGTCTATGCAGTTATTTTTATTCTTTGTTTAATAAACTTCAAATGTTCTATCACTTATGAAAAATGTGTCTTTGTCTGTCTGTTTGTTTTTTGAATCTGAAAAAAAAAATGAATATGTACTTTCAGTCTTTAAAATCCAGTCATTCTTTGCCTGTGATGACAGTGGGCTCTATTTTGATGGTCCATGCGCAAAACGCAGGGCGTAAACACTTTCAGGGCGTGTCAGAATGCATTTTTGTTAATTTAAGGACGGAAAAATCCGCTTTGAGCCGGCATGTTGTCCGTAGTGTGTGAATGTGTGTGTGGATGTTTCCCAGAGATGGGTTGCGGCTGGAAGAGCATCTGCTGCGTAAAAATGTGCTGGATAAGTTGGCGGTTTATTCCGCTGTGGCGACCCTGGATTAATATGGGGACTAAGCCGACAAAAAAATGAATGAATTGATATATATATATATATATATATATATATATATATATATGTTATGAGCAGACATTCTGAGAACATTCTCGGAACTGTGAACATTCCCAGAATTTGGACAGAAACTCTCAGAGCAACATTTATTCTCTACATCCTTATGATCTTATTGATATGTGCTGAAGGTTAATGCCATTGTTTTTTTTGTTTTTTTTTATATAAACAATTGTTCAACTACTATAGAGTATAAAAACTACTATAGGGTTAAAAATAAAATAGAAACTTTTATTGTTATTTCAAATGTTAATCTAACCATGCCGATAAAACTAGATTTAACTCCTCCAATAAAGATTTCACAACAAATCTGTCAGAAAAATACATTTATCCAACATGAATCACGACACGTATTAAATCCATTCACAAAAGGGCCTTAAGATAGCTTTATTATCATAAATATCAAAACTCACAGTGCAAATGACACGATTTACATAAATGTTTTGTAAACTTTAGGGCTGCCAATCATTAAAGCTATTTTCAGGTTAAATATTCAAACACTATAAAGTTTCATATTGTCCCACTTCAGTTGTAAGTTTGACATTGGGAGTGCAGATAACAGTTTAAGCCCTCTTGAAAATCCTCTTGGCCTCGACTCCATCATAGCTATAGCTCTGTAAGCAAATGCAAAAAGTGAGAACACTACTTTACAGGAAATCCAAACATTCGTCATAATATATAAGAAACAACTCCTCACCTGTACAAGTTCACCATTAACGATAGTCCTGACTGTTGTTAGTACCTTTCCGTTGTCCTTGCGTGTGAAAGTCCCCTTGAGCGTGTCTCCCTCTATGACCCAGGATCCCTGCAATCAGAAAGTCAAAGGTCAGGCTCATTTTCAAGCGGCGCCAGATCTAGTTGACCGGTTAGTGATTTTCTCTCCAGAAAGCTTGTAAAACATGTGTTATGTAATTAATTTATTCTTCTCTGCTATACTCAAAGCCTGAACTTTGTTGCTTATCAATAAAGCACAATGATGCAGCAAAAATAGTCAGTAAGCCATTGTACAACATGACACTCAGAAAATGTTTTTTGCTGTTTGTTTAATCTACTTGTTTAAAATGAGTTGCAACAACACAATTCTAAAGATTTTTTGGAAAACTTAATTGTTTATCTTTAATCCACTTACAGTAAATAAATCGATTTGTGTAAGTATAACATGCATAAATTGTGTGGAATAGTTTTTTTTTTTTTTTACACTATTTCATGGTATCCTCTTTACAAATCTGATTCATGGCAGGATGTGCAAATTGCAAATATGAGATACAAGTTCATATTTGGATTTCACCTACAATATATGTCATATATGCAACATATTTTGAAATATATGGCCACATACATACTGTATATTTTTTCCAACCATTGGAATTAGAATAAATATGCATAAATGTTATATAAGTATATTATATATGTATGTTATATAGGTAATAAGTATATATAAATAAGCAATATGTTGTAATATATATTTACATATTTAGAATTTCGTTTAGGCTGAAATATACTGTATATGTATTTAAAATATACCAAAATTTTGGGGTCAGGTATTTTCATTTGTTATTATACTGTTCATCAAGGTAGCATTTATTAAATGTAATTAAAAAAACAATTATTAAAATTTAAATGTAGTTTTAAATGAAATTAATACTTCAGTAATTATTGTTTTTTTTTACTATTATCAATAATAATAATAATAATAATAATAATTATTATTATTATTATTATTACAACAACAATAATAATAATAATAATAACAATAATAATAATAATAACAATAATATTTAATATAAGAGGGATGTCTGAAGGATCCTGTGACTCTGAAGACTGGAGTAATGCTAAAAATTCACCATTAAAATCAGTGGAATAAATGATTAAATTAAATGATAAACTACTTTTGAAAAGTTATATACAATTTTACAATTTGTACTGTATTTTTGTTTAAATAAATGCAGCCTTGGTGAGCAGAAGAAGCTTATTTTAAAACATTTAAAAATCGCACTGACCCCAAACTTTTGACTGGTAGTGGATGCTGCATATATGACTTATATTTTATATTTACAAAATACAAATATGAACTTGTGTCTCAGACAAGCAATTTGCATATATTGTCAAAGGACTATGTCAGATTTCTATGTGATATGGTTACATCATCATTCAATACCTCTCAACCTTTGCTCTTGATTTTTTTTACCCCTTTTTTTTGGTTCTCCAAAAATCTTTCAGTGAACAGTTCTTATAAGAACCCAGTGTGCAGAAAATTTGAAATAATCAAATAACCATTTTTTTTTCCTATGTAGAGACCAGCTGTGGTCAACATTTGCTGCAGGTTTTTCAAAAATGTGTGTTTTTTTTTTAAGTAAAATAAAGTCTTTAGTGTTTATAAATTAGTTACATTTTTTATTCTTTCACAGCACATTATGTGCACCAGAGAATGTTAAAGACTATGAACTGGAAACATTTGAAGAAACTAGTAGTAAAGGTGCAGACAGCAAACCCATTTTTTGGAAAACAAAATTCATTTATTTTGGTCTATTTGGAAAATCTTCTATGGCTTTTTGGAGAAATGGTGATGGTGACTCTTTTCTTAAACTGACATTGAAAGTATATATTGAGGTATTGCTGTATTATTTAACATTAATATTGTTATTTTATTTTTTTCTCTCAAAGTGTGTTAAGTTATTTTGAATCTATATTATTCTTGATGTTTTTTGTATTAACTTCTTTTAATTTATTTAATTTACTATTTTTATTTTTTGCTAAACTGAAAAATTAAACCTTTGTCAATTTGTATAACAATGTTTAAAATAAAAATTCTTAAAAAAAAGTGCAGTCAGCACACTATAAAGAACCCTTTGTGCAGATTGAATGTTATGGGCTTACTATGGAACCACGCTTATGCATCTGAAATCAGCAATGACTGTGCTTACTGTGAGCTCAGTGCCGTCTGCCAGAGAATAGTCAAAGGTGACGCCCAGAGTAAAGTTAATTTCCAGTGTGCGGAAAGTGCTGACTTCCTTCACGTTGAACTTGTCTCCGGTCTGCTCCAGGGTGATCTTCAGGTTGTCATGGGCAGCCAGTTTCCTTTTCACCATGTTGACGCCTGTTAAAGGAATGCAGTAAATCTCACTTAATCAATCAACTCACTCAAGCAAGCATCGATTATTATTCATCACTTACCCATTTGTTCCATGAACTTCTCGTAGTTCTCATTGCGGTCGACTTTCCAGGTCCCGTTGAAGGTCATGATGATGACAGACTGTTGTGTGATCCTGACAGTGGCCTAACTTTACCCCGAGCCACTCTTTTATACCTGTGCGAGTGGCGAAGCGTTGCCTTATCTGAGTATTATCTTCATGCTGATGTGGCCGAGTAAAGCTCACCAAGTATAAATCTCACCCGCCCAACAGGCTATATGTTACACACATCCCAGCATGCCTTGCTTATTCATTGATTGTGCAAAGAGCGGAGATTTCAAGTCCTGAGAACAAGCACTCACTTGTACTGCGATGGTCAAACATACACGCTCTGTTGTTCTCATAACAAAGTCCTGCTTTTGTTTGAATTGTTTGCTGTTTAAACTGTGTAGGGTGTGTCTGTTATACTAGTAAGTGCCTTGTGTTGCAGTAACTACTGAGGGACTATGAAGAGTGTTTGAAAGCTATGAATTCTAGCCACATGTATTGATTTTTAAACAATTGTGGTGAAAGGTCAAAGGTCAAAACTTTAGATTTAATGGTTACAGTTAAATTAGTTTACAATCTTGCTGCATGCCTCATTGGCTATTGAGAAATACTGGTAACAATTATTTTAAGGCTCTGTGTTGACATGAATGGTTGGTTTTATAAAGTACTTTTTGAAATATTTCATTGCACAAAAATTTTATTTATGTAGAAAAATGTTTTAAGATTATTGAAAAGTTCTTCACACTATATAAAAAGGGTCTTTGAAGAACTTTTTACTACAAAAGTGCAGCTATTGCAGCTAAAATTGAGAATACAGTATATGGCAATGCTTCGTTCTTCCTCGTACCTTTTTTTTGTGCAGTTCTACTTAACAGACAGCTACCAGTGAATATACTTCAAAGCCAGTTCTAAAGCTAACTCAAATATTTACAGTACTAGTACATTATTAAAATGAAAATTTGCACCTGCCAATATTATTTCATAGATCTGATCTGAATACTAATGAACAGTTGTGTTTTGTCCTAAAACCTTAACCCTAACCGAACCATTATTATTGTAACATTTTATCAGTAACATAACACATACGATATATTTATCACAGATAAGTAATGCATAATAATATTTTTAATTTAAAGATAAAGTATTTATCATTTGCATTTACTACTAATATTAAAATGCAAATCTATAAAACACTTTAGATATAAAAATAAATGCACACAAATGTCAAAAACAGACCATACATTCACCAACATTATACAGTAACGACAATAATTCCATGAATATTTTATTTAAAATCTGCAGTACTCATCCAGTTATACTAAAATAACAGCATTATGTATTTTGCTCATTGTTAGTTATTAGTAATATAGTTATTGGAACCTTATTTTAAATTGTATTACTGAATTATCCCCTTGTATTGTTTGAAAATGTTGTAAATATTGATGCAAGGCTGTGAAAGAACAGCTTCAGCATTATCTGTAATGATGAATAGTGTACAAAGCCTGCAAATGATTCAAATTAAGCAACATGCAGTGTGGAAGTTTTATCTGGAGGCTCCATGACAAGATAAAGAGACGAGATATCAAACTGAGACATGATAATCTCTGATGATGGTTTATCTCATCATTACCTTATCCTTAATCTCTTAACAGTGCAATTAAATAAGACCTCTGAAGACCTTTGGTATCGTCCCATTGTAAGACCTTTGGCATCGTCCCACTAAGAGTAGGGACAAGAAAAGGTCCAAGCTGATAATAATTGATTTCATGCATGTTTAAATGTATAAAATAATGTAAAAAGTAAGCTAAAAACATCTTTTATACTATATTTACTACAAACATTTTGTAGAATTTGCAGAATCTGCGTAACAGTGATCTTTTTCAGATTTAGTTATTTTTTTGAGGTCGTTAATAAGAAGTCTCTTTTCGGTTTAGTGTGAAAATGTATATATAATATAATAATAGAATAGAATATAAAATTATTAATATTATTACTAAATCTTATTGCTATAGACAAATTTAAATATAAAGCAGTTATTACAGGCATGAACCTTCAGAAACCATTCTAATGATTGTACTGATTGTACTGGCAATTTAGGACAAATACAATAAAATAAATTCAATTAAATAAATTAAAATAAAGGGTGGAGCGGTGGCGCAATGGCTAGCGCTGTCACCTCACAGTAAGAAGGGCTGGTTTGAACCTCAGCTGGGTCAGTTGGCATTTCTGTGTGGAGTTTCCGGTTTCCCCCACAAGTCCAAAGATATGTGATGAATATATAGGTGAATTGCGTAGGCTAAACTGTGTGACTGTGAGTGTATGGGTGTTTCCCAGTGATGGGTTGCAGCTGGAAGGGCATCTGCTGCGTAAAACATATGCTGGGTAAGTTGGTGGTTCATTCTGCTGTGACAATACTAGATCAATAAAGGGACTAAGCCAAAAAGAAAATGAATGAAAATGAAATATTATTTGCTTAACATGTGTGAGTAAAACATTTGATCATTATTTTTTATGAATGGAAAAAAACAACAACATTTATTTTTTATCATAACCTAACTCATCTTATTTGGTAAAAGTATTAGCTTCTTAAAAGAAAAATAGTGCTTATAGACATAACATGTGGTTTTACAAATCCAGTATGTTCCCCTGAAGCATTTGGGATTTATATGCGTGCTAATCTGCAATTTTCCAGCACAGTTCTTCTGTGAAACATAAAAGGTTGTTTATTAATCAGGTTTGTAAAGTCATGCATGGTTGCTCTAGTCCAATAATCCTACAATTTGCATTTGCACACTATCACTGGGAAATAAACAGTTCTCTGATGTACTCAGAGTTTAGACACAATCCAAAACAATTTGTTTTTATGATGCTTTAATCTTACATAATCAATTGCCTTATGCGCTTGGCATGGTTATGTATTTTACTACAGAGGAGTAGTAACTGCTAGCACAATTTGTTCAGAAGGTAATGATTAACTATTAAAAGGCAATGATTAACTAACTATCTATTATCTACTTCTCTGTGGAAGTGGAAATATTGAAAATATTGGGGTCATAGTGCTTCAGAACGATTTTAGCCATTGGTTTTCATTGCAACACTTCAGAGCTATTTTTAAAAGAATGTACTTACTTATTTGTACCACAAGACGGAGGTATTTGCAGTAATATCAGGCTGGTCAAGTTTGGCTGGAGTGATTCCAGTCATGTACAAGTAGTAGGCTATTGCTTTAGGGGTTATTAAAGTCTGGCTGTAAAGCCAGCATTTTTTTTTAAATAAAGGTGCCTACACACCAATCATGATCAAGACAACGATACAGATCTGATTTACTGTTCTAAATATGAAAAAAAAAAAAAAAACAGAGTTTTTACCTCTATCTACACCTACACCATCTTACCACTGACTATCGACAGTGATAGATGAAGAATGTCCTGAAGTAACTTTCAAAACAATACAGTGGAGATCACAAAATGCTAACTATTTATAAACACTTCATCTTTATAATCATTCATTCATTCATTTTCTTTTCGGCTTAGTCCGTTAATTAATGGGGTCGCCAGAGCGGAATGAACCGCCAATGTTTTACGCAGTGCATGCCCTTCCAGCTGCAATCCATCACTGGGAATCTCCCACACACATTCACAACAGACATTTTTAGCTTACCCAATTCACCTACAGCGCATGTCTTTGAACTTCTGGGATAAACCAGAGCATCCAGAGGCAACCCACGACAACCCAGGGAGAACATGCAAACTCTACACAGAAATGCCAACTGACCCAGCCGAGGCTCAAACAGTGACCTTCTTGCTGTGAGGCAATCATGCTACCCACTGCGCATCTTCATAATCTTCACCATTAAATTTTTTAAATCTGGAGAGATCTGCAGAGTGGATAACAACATTAACAACCTGGGCCCGGTTTTTCAAAAGGTTTAATCCGGATAAAATTGATCCAGATTTAGTAATCCTGTTTTTGCGATCCGTGATCACGTAATCCAGCTCATTTTTTGAGCCAGTTTTTCAAAGCAACTTCGGATTGGATCAATCTGATCTGGATAGGAACTTTTCAGGATCACTAAATCTGGATAACCAGTGCTCAAACAGCATAGGACATCACAATGTAGAACTATAGATATGTAAAGAGTAGAATAGCATGGGGTCAATATAACTTTATTTTTATTTGAAATGAAAACTAAGAAAAAAAATTATAATAATTAAAATAATAATAATAATAAATAATAATAAAAACAAGAAAAACAACACCCCATCCTCTTCCAGCAGTCCGCTCATCTGAGACCTACAACACTGTAGATTGAGGATATTTATAATAAGTTTCAATAATAAAAAGATGTAAATAATAAAAAGACTTAATGTCAAAAACTCCACAATAAGTTCAGACTTCCTCATCTGATGTGGAGAGAGCAGCTTGTCTGAGCGTAGTCTTTAGGAGGCAGATCTCAAGTCATTGGTCTTGGTTTGCTGCAGTTTGGTCAAGGTCAGTTGTTCCTCTACCAGATGAACCTGTGCTTCTGCCCTTTCAGTCTCTTTTTGCAATTGTTGAAAGAGATTTCAAAAATTAGTCATTGCCATTCTTTGCATTATTTTTTATTCTGTTTTATTCTATTGCATACATCACTAATAAATATTCTAAAAAGAAAAACATTTTCCATTGCGATGAATATATATATATATATATATATCAATTAGTGACATAATAAAGTTGATTGTTTTTGGTCTGTTTTAACAGCTGTTTGGGGGATTATTTTATGAGGCCAAACTCGTTCTACTTTGCTGTAGGCCTATACTGAAAGGCTGAATACGTTAAAGCCAATAATCACTATAGCCTGACGGATGAACAAATAAAATTAAAACTTTATGAATAAATAGTATATCTCGTAAGATCCAAAAATAGTATTATTTATTAAATTTTTAAGTTTTCATTACATTTTGGGCATGAAATTCACGCTAAATCCACCCTTCTGATGAGATCAGTTTAATCCAGGTTTTTTGGATCAAAGTGATCCAAATCCTACAAAAAAGGTCTGAAAAACCCAAACTAAAGGTTTGATCCGGATCAAAACCAAGATTGGATTACGTGATCTAATCCAATTATGTAATCCGTTTTTTCTTTTGAAAAACCCATTTTCAAGATTTGATCCAATCCCTTATCCAAAATCCTAGTGGATTACTCTTGAAAAACCGAGCCCTGACGTATCAAGACATTTGTGCTGCCCATTACATTTCAAACCACAGGAGAGGGCAAATTCTTCAGCAGGATATGCTCCTTTAGCTTCCACATCAAAGTTCCTAAAAGCAAAGAAGGTCAAGGTGCTCCAGGATTGGCCAGCCCAGTCACCAGAAATGAAAATGATTGAGCATGTCTGGGATAAGATGAAGAAATATGCATTGAAGATGAATCCAAAGAATCTTGATGAACTCTGGGAGTCTTGCAAGAACACTTTCTCTGCCATTCCAGATGACTTTATTAATAGGTTGTCTGAGTCATTGCAGAGATGTACTGTATGAATGAATGCATTCCTCCAAGCTCACACAACAATCATTCTTTTTCCACTGCACCATGACTTAATATTCTATACTGTACATTATTTATGTTAAGTGACAAGACTTTTGGCTAAGCAAAGTCAGACCTTACTGTCATAATTAAATAATTTAAAATCAAGGCATGATCATATTTTATTTTGTTTAATTAGGCATAATCTAGGGCCCTTTGCCTTTCATATAAGCCCCTTCTGATAGCAAATGATCAACTAGAAGTCAAGTTACTATATGTTGGTATTCCTAAAACTTGGAGAGGCGACGAGACTTTTGTCAGGTCCAATTAAAACTTGACAAAACAATATCATTTGGGGTTATCATACAACAAAAACAAATCACACTATCACATATTTTAAATAATATTTTAATACAAGATTTCAGTTTATGCTGGAATTAGAGGTGTACATAAAAAGCATCGTGAAGCATGGGGTTTACTATAAAGAACTCTATCTGTGAGATTTAATGAATACAAACTCTCACACCAATGAAATATACTCACTTTTAAATAAATGTTCAGTTAGAAACTATCAGAATATATTAATTCACTCAATAATTACTCATTAAATCACAAAAACAGTAGTGTAGGTACATACTGTTGCAACCATAAAATGTTTATATGTACATGTTTGGCAACTTTTCTGACAAGAGTGTAAATATGAATCCAATGTGTAGGCATTTTGCTATCGACAGCATGCGCATTACCCTTGGAAATGTAAACATAAATTAATTCTGGTGAATTTGTTGTTAGTTAAACTTGAGTATTTTCAATATGATACAGTAATACATTAGCAAAATGTGCTGTGATACTTAAAACTAAACAAAAACTATACTCTTAATCTTAAATATCAACACTTAAGTCATGCATGATTTAAAGGAACAGTTCACTCTGAAACAAAGAGTACACTGTATTTTACTCACCCTTAAGCCAACTTTACTATTCAGCATATAACTTTTTTTCTGTTGACAAACACAGTCAGAGCAGCTTTTGCTAGGTTCAAAATAAAGGCCACTCTCCAATACCATTATACAGAATAGAAGAGCCAGTATGGAAGAGAAAACCACATTTAACTTTGAGTAAGTTATTTATGGAGTAATTTTCACTTTGTGAACTGATTCTTTAAATCAGACAGAGTGACAAACAATAGTTTAAATGAAACTACTTCTGGACATGCTAGTATTCTACAGTAAACTAACACATCCTCTACTATAAATAAAACATGATGAAACAAACACTTGATGAGCAGGTTTGCATGTTGCATAGTGAATCTGTACCGTGTTCCAGTTTTATGTTATTTGGATGTTCTGTTTCCGTAATCAGTTCAATAGTTGGCACTGAAGTTAGTACCATTAATATCAATTTCTGTGTAAAATATGAAGAGCTCTGTTCATCATCAGCTCTGTGACAACCTTTTCCCACTATCTTTTCATTGTCCTTAAATCAGAGATAATTGGCACTTGAAATGCAGGTGTCACTGAAGAACATTCTTAATTTGGCCCCTTAGAGGGGAAGAATACGCTGAATTTGATGTAGAAAGCAAAGCATTTTCCTATTCATAGAATTTATAATAAACACAGTAGCTGATAACACAACACAAACTGCATCAGTGCGGCGAGTCTGTTAAGTCTTGCGTGAGAGAAACCACACTTTCATTGGCTCTTTCTTTCCTTTCATGGTTACAGGTCCTCTGTACTCCAAATGAAATTGAGGATCAGCATTTTCCACAGACTGCAAACACCTGCGACAAACAACACATATATTACTGTATATTACAGTATAATATCAACTCAAATCACCTTAGCCTATGGCACCAATAAAAACAATGATTGTTATTATATTATATTATATTATATTATGTTATGTTATGTTATGTTATATTATATTATGTTATGTTATGTTATATTATATTATGTTATGTTATGTTATGTTATGTTATGTTATGTTATGTTATGTTATGTTATGTTATGTTATATTATATTATATTATATTATATTAAGTTATGTTATGTTATGTTATGTTATGTTATGTTATATTATATTATATTATATTATATTATATTATATTATATTAAATTATATTATAATCATTCATTCATTCATTTTTCTTTGGCTTAGTCCCTTATTTATTTTGGGGTTGACATAGTGGAGTGAACCGGCAACTACTGCAGCATATGTTTTACACAGCGGATGCCTTTCCAGCCACCACCCAGTACTCTCCACCATAGACTGTAAAAGATATGGATGTAGTATCTGTGACGTCACCCATAGGTTTCTGAAGAACACAAAAGAAGTGGGCTTGGCCAACCGTGACCAAACAAAGGCAAAGTGGCGGAGCGTGAGCGGAGCTACTGATGCCTGCTAGCATTTTGCTTAGACAAGCTTTTATTAGGGATAAATGCTTAATACTTTATTAGAGTACCTGCGACTCATTGTACACTATATCAATAAAGTGTTTAGTCTTTTAAAAACACTGTTGTAATACATTGAGCCTCTAAGCATTGTTCTTATGGTGTTTTTCTACAGAAGGAATTACTTCCAAACACTTCAAATATAGTCTGTATTAGTAAACGCAAGGCTATTTATGAAATCCAGGAATAAAACTGTAAGACAACATGTCAGACAATCATTCTGTCAGAATCTGGAGTGCATTCAAGTTCTAAAGAAAATATAAATGATAAATTATCTTAAATAAAACAAATACATTTATAGAGATGGTTTATAAGTATATAGTTTCACTCACCAGGAAAATGCAGGCCACGTGAATGAATTGTGAGCACAATAAAGTATTTAGTAAGAATTGTAAGAATTAATTCCAAAAAGCAACTGATTGTGTAAAGCCACCAAAATATGATGTATATGCCGAGTCATCAGCTAATAAGCTGAACCAACTGAGGTGAAGTGATGGTGACCAGTGAGACCTAGCTGTCACTCAAGGGTGGCCACACCCTTAATTACACAGACTTAATGTAACTTAATATAAACAAAACTAATGAGTTGTAAAAAAAATTCACCCCCTCACAGTTGTCATGAAGGGTAATATAAGCTCTATGAACCAAAATCGTTCTTTGTACCAGGCTGTAAACACATTTTTTTTCTGCTGAAAAGCTGGAACTTTTAACAGTTTGGTCAATAGACATGTGCTCTATTATGGAGCCAGGACTAGTGGAATTTCGATAAATTGCAGTCTCAGTTACTTCCGCATTTGCTTTACGAGAGAGAGAGTGGGAGGTTGCCGCTAGGGGAGGGGGATCAAAATGGTCATGTTCTCTTATCGTGTTTAATGTTGGTCAACTGTGGTAGCATCTTTTAATTAGGAAAAAATATTTTATTATTATTATTTTTTTTTAATTTTTTTATTTTGCTCTTTTAATGATAATCTTTCTATGTACCTTCCTATTATGTGCCTATTGCTGTTTTTACTGTTTTATGCTCATATCATGTGTTTATTTTCTCTCTGTAAAGCACTTTGTGCAGCCTTGTGGCCGTTGGGAACGTGCTATATAAATAAATAGAACTTGAACTTGAACTTTTTGAGTTCAAGTACCTTTATTCTTTTTAAATACTTTAAACTTAATATATGAGCTAAAGTAAACATTCATTCAACAGTTCATTCAGTAAATTTGACCATTGGATTTTATTGTAATGTTTGTACAATGAAAGAATAATACATTTAGACCAGTTTTACCTCATTTTCGAAATATTTAAAAAATATATATAAACACAAATGATCAAAAACAGAATAACAGAAATTGGTTTTCCTATATATGGAAATATGTAAAATAATGTATTAAATGTATTTTATTCCATAAACTCTTGATATATTTTTTTTAATATTACATTGCTATTTACTTTAGTTTTATAATGAATGGTTCCCTCACCTGTATGTGTATTCAGACACATTAATTTTTCCTTTCTCTCCAGTGGTCTCTGTACGACTTGTTAGATTGACAGTGTTTCCAAACAGGCAGTAACGGGGCATTCTTTGACCTATGACCCCTGTGACCACCTCTCCTGTGTGAATTCCAATGGTGATCTGTCCCAAAACACAACAGTCAAAATATGAGTAAAGTGTAAAGCTTTATATAGCATACAGCAAAAAAAACAAACAAAAAAAAAAACCATCTGAAATGCTTTTAAAGCATATGCTATCTACATACAACACATTCAAGCATTAAAGACACAATTTTAAATCTTCCGCCACTACAGGCTGCACATTTACAACAAACAAAGGCAAAGTTTGATGATGCCGTGAATATGTGTGGAATCATGGGAGTTGATTACATCCTATGGGACTTCTGCAGAAATCATTCATGGCTTAAAAGTCCATGGATGAGCTAAAGTATTCAAAATTATTATGGCAGTATAAAGTAGATTAAAGCAATTGCTGATGAGAGACAAGCGCAATGCAACATAATTTTGATAATTTCCAGTTCCTAATGTCATGATCATGTGGGCAAGCACAGTGCCGTTTTATCCAAGCATCTTTGGTATTTGCCTGTTTTCTATCAACCCAAACCAGAAATCGAGGGTGTGCATAAGTCAGCAAAATGTAAACAACTGTTCTGGTGTTTTTGGATATATTGAATCTCACATATTGTGCTTTTTACTTTAAATCATCCAAAACAATTCAGACATACAGTGGTCCCCATAAATTGGCAAAAAATTAGATTTTCATCCATCCTCAGTGAATAGTGATTGTGTTCAACAAATATCTCTACCAAAATACATCGAAACTCAAATATATATACATATGCAGTGCTCAGCATAAATAAGTGCATCCCTTTGTTTAAGAACCCCATTTTCTATAGAAGGCTTTACAATAATATACATGTATACTGTATATAGTAAATTTGTGATTATACTGTTAATTAGTCAGTCCCAAGTCTGACATAAATACAACTGATCAGTCTTTAAATTAGTACACCCAAATTAATATGTTGTGGGAAAATATAAAATAACATTTTAAGTAAAAGAACAGATCAAGAGAAATTAGAAAAATCTAACATTTAAATTTTGAAGTTTGCATTTTTTTATGGTTGCAAAAACTAATTTGTATTTAAACGTATTATCTTTCTACACCTAAAGATATTAGGTGACCAAAGTCTTATTTTAATGGATATAACACTATTGTTGAATAGTTATTAATCATTAATGTTTAATAAAAACAGCTTAAATGCATGAAAATATTGACTATATTCACTGAGAATATATGCTAAGCAGTGTATGTATATATACAGTACACTAACAATAACAAATGACAATTATAATAAATCTGTATACTCATTTTTGCACGATGATTAGATTATTGTTAGAACTGTTCCATTTAGACTAATCTAATGTAAAACCAATTAACCTAAATCTGCAAATACCTTATTGTATAACATCCTAAAGAAAGTATTCATTTAAAAATGAACAACAGTTTTTTTTTTTTTTTTTTTCTGACAAATGTGTTAGGGTGTACTCGTAAATGCTGGGCACTTTATTTCTATGAAAAAGAAATCGTTGTCTTTCTTTTCTAGCAAATGCATCCACTGAGCGAGACACGAGTGCGTGCCAGAGCAGAGCTAAATGTTCAAAATAAAGTTAATGTGGGTGTATTTTTAAACACTGAAAGGAAGGATGATCTGACGGTGTCTCCCTTTGCCAGACTGTGCTTACATTTGCGTACGTGTGTGTTTTTGTGTGAAAGTCTTCATGCCATCTGTCTAATACAGCCGTCTTTATCTCATTTAGATGCTCCGAGTGTTCCAACAACACATCTTTAACAGTCACATATAATATAACAAACCTGCATCGTCTGGTTAAACAAAAGAGCCTGCCGAGACTTTTCCTGTTAGCACCTTTGAGATGCAATCTGAAGCTATTCTTAGAAAACATAAAGCATTTTTAATACACTGTGTAAAATATGTATGTGTGTGCTTTATGTAGGGCTGCATGGTGGGTGGGCACTTATGTGACCCCATAAGCCGGGTATGCGAAATATGCAGTGGATATATTGATTGTTTAATTTGTGCTATGAGGCAGCGCATTAAACAAGTCTAAACAGTCAGGATTTATTGATGCATTAAATTACATATACACAGTGAACAATATGAATATATTGTGTGCTCACAAAACATGTCCTGAGTGCATCTGAAGCATGAACTCACATTACGGTTGGAATGTATATATAATTAATTACATATTATATATTATAATTAATAATTAATACTTTATTGATATGTAAAATTAATTTAATAATACTTTTAGTTCTCATAATTACATAGTTCTAATAAATAAACATACAATTGTACACAACACTGTGGTGTTGACACAATGCTCAGTTGGTACTAATGGGCCCAAAGTGTGGCAAGAAAACATCCCCACACCATTACCCCACCACCAGCCTGAATCGTTAATACAAGGCAGGATGGATCCATGCTTTCATGTTGTTGACACCAAATTCTGAACCTACCATCCTAATGTCGCTGCAGAAAATTGAGACTCATCACACCAGACAACATTTTCCAATCTTCTATTGTCCAATTTTGGTGAGCCTGTGTTAACTGTAGCCTTAGTTTCCTGTTTTTAGCTGACAGGAGTGGCACCCGGTGTGGTCTTCTGCTGCTGTAGCCCATCTGCCTCAAGGTTTGACATTTTGTGTGTTCAGAGATGCTCTTCTGCATATCTCGGTTGTAACGAGTGGTTATTTAAGTTACTGTTACCTTTCTATCAGCTTGATCCAGTCTTGTCAATCTCCTCTGGCATCAACAAGGCATTTGTTGCCGCTCACTGGATATTTTCCCTTTTTCAGACCACTCTCTGTAAACCCTAGAGATGGTTGTGCATGAAAATGAACATGGAAACTCCACACAGAAATGCCAACATGCCCAGCCAGGACTCGAACCAGTGACCTTCTTGCTGTGAGTGACCTTCTTTACAGTACTAACCACTGAGCCACCGTGCTGCCCATATATATATATATATATATATATATATATATATATATATATATATATATATGTTTTTAGTTAGTTTTTAGACACAATCTGGAAAAAATATCAATGTAAATTAATTATTTTTGTAAATCTGTGTGAATAATCAGAGTAAACTTAAATCATCAAACATTTATAGCTTATGTTATCATATATTTCACATTTTATTCATTCTAAAAATCTGGATTTCTGAGCTAATTACCCTTAGTTAAAGAGCCCATATTATACATGAAATAGGGTCATATCCTGGTTGTAAGGGTCTCCAACAACAGTCTAATATGCATGCAAGGTCAAAAAACACTTTCATGGTCTTATAATCTGCATTTATTTTTAGCTAATTATCCCAGCGACTCCTGTATGAATCGTCCAGTGATTCATTTGTTCCCAAACCCCTCCTTAGCGCGGAGCTAATCTGCGCTGATTGGACCGATGACAGTCTGTCGCGATTGGTCGACTGCCTTCAGTCAGAGAGGGAAATGGCCAATAGCTAATCAGCAATTTAAAAAGTAATCACAGTTCATACACGCTCGATAGTGTAGACGTGGATTTTAGCTGCCACACTATGGCGAGTGGATAGTGCCACGGATAACCGAACGAAGGAGACAGTCGTGTACTCGCCATACCACACACACACAAAAACACACACACACCTCCGGATGACAACGCTCCCGCTTCCGCCCGCACCCGCCAGGTTTTAGCCTGAGAACCCGCTCCGTTTTCTGCCCGCCGCGCCCGGTCCCGCTAGAGCGGAGAACACAACCAAAAATCACCCAGTATACAGTCCAGACAGCCAAGCTGTCTGTATAAACACACACACACAGCACAAAGCACACAAAGCTCGTTCGTTCGTTCGCTCTCTCTCTCTCTCTCTCTCTCTCGCTCTCTCTCATACGGGCGCGTGCGCACTAACACACACACAAGCACCACGCAGACTCTCTTTCTAATTCGCATAGCAATATCCGTGATATTGCTAGACAGCCCGCTCCCGTCCCAAATTAAACCCGTTACCGACCGCTCCCGCGATTTATTCGGAAATTTATTCCCGCGGCTGTCCCCGCGCCAGATTTCTGCGGCGCGGAAATAAATTTCCGAATAAATCGCGGGAGCAGAACTCTAGCACGGAGCTCCATAAACAAACAGCACGCGTCGCGTTTTTAACGTGACTTTGCACGCGATAAGATAATATATCCAGTTAACCTGATACAGTACACGCGGTTATAAGTAACAAATCACAACTAAATACATTTGCAAGCTAGAGTAAACGAGGCAACAACTTTAACCGCACGTACTTACACTTGAGAAATGGAAGAAACCCATCCTGACGTCCATCAGTTACTCTTTACTGATCCTTCCTTTAACAAACTCAGATGAAGTATTCTTTGTAGCATGTAGCTTCCAGAAGTTTCCAACTGCTTGGTTATAATGCTGATGTTTCATCTTTGGGTAGAGACTCAATATAATGTCCATCTGCAGTGTTACTTCAATCGACCGGCATGTTTGTGTGCGTGTGTTTGTGGGTGTGCGTGTGTTTGTGGGTGTGTGTGTGTGTCTGGGTTTCTGCGTCAGAGGGCGGGGCCTCAGGTTTGAAATCTCCCGGGTTTGCGCGTGCACGTGAATAACTTGGTTTCGTTCGTACGTCATGGCGAAACACCTAATGAGTCGGTATCAAGGCGACTCGTTTGAAGCACTATGAGTCGACTCTTTTATAGATGAATCAACCGTTTTAAACACTGTATTCTTACAGATTTAAGCCTTAGCTGGATACTTCACTTCACTTAGAGCTGTGTTACACACTACATGGAGGGGAATTTTCAAAAACCCATAATATGGGCTCTTTAAATTTTTTTTGTAGTGCTTTAATGTTTATTTGAAGTTACAGAAGTAATATTACTGAAGTTTTAAAAACTACAAAACCATTAAAAAGTATGTAAAAAAATGAATGTGTTACATGAAGTATTACACATCCCTCTAGTCAGAGGCAGCTCCTGGCACAGCATATGCTGGCATTTGCATAGAATGCTAATGTTCTGTAGAGCAGCAATAGGCACACTCCCAGCACACAGCGCCCACTTTTCTAATACTTATCCATAATCCTCATCTATTACAGTGAAATGACGAAACAGAATGCAACCCCCATTACTGGTACTCATTTACTGGTAAATAGTTGCCAATAATAAATAGAAAATCTAGCAGAGTACGTTATGAACGACAACCTTTAAAATTAACACAAATCAAATATTCCCATGTGAGCCCCCACAGGCCCTACAATATGCCAATTAGAATACTTACAAAAGTTGTGACTTAGACAAAGCAATATAAACTGTCAGTGCTTGTTCCTGAGTGAATCAGTGTTTTTGAATGAATCAGCTGAATGAATAATTCATTAATCACCATTTACAGCCATAGCAACATCCATAGCAACAATATCCAGGTTCATTTAGATAAATTCACATTAGAACATGCAAACACAGGCAAGCAGATTATATGAACTGATGATGGGTCATTCATTTAAAATTAATCTTTAATGTAACTCTGAAACCCAGAGTCACATTAAAGAGGTCGGGTAGAAGATTGGTTCCTTTTTTGAGTCTTCTATTAGATTTGAGTCATTCGTTAATCAATGATTTCAAATCCTCTTTAAAAATGGGTGCATCATTTATTCATTCATTCATTTTCTTTTCAGCTTAGTCCCTTTATTAATCCGGGGTCGCCACAGAGGAATAAAACACCAACTTATCCAGCAGGTTTTTATGTAGCAGATGCCCTTCCAGCTGCAACCCATCTCCAGGAAACATCCACACAAACTCATTCACACACACACACACACACATACACTAAGGACAATTTAGCCTACCCAATTAACCTGTACAACATGTCTTTGGACTGTGGGGGGAAACGGGAGCACCCGGAGGAAACCCACGCGAACACAGGGAGAGCAAGCAAACTCCACACAGAAACGCCAACTGACCGAGCCGAGGTTTGAACCAGCGACCTTCGTGCTGTGAGGCGACATCACTACCAACTGCGCCACTGTGTTGCCCATGGGTTCATCATTTTTATTGTTTTATATTATGTTATTATATTATTATGTTATTATACTGTTATTATATTTCTGATCTCAACCTGTAGCTCCATTACAATTGTTGGAATTTCTGTCACAATGATTTTCTATAATACTGAATGTGGTGATACGGTTTGTGGTAAGTTTTTTAACTTTATCTGCACAATGGCGATGAACTAATCATTTTGATTTCACCTAATCTTTCACGCATCAAAAACAGAAAACAAAATACTAAATTCTCATTGGATGACTCGAGGTATCAATCGTGGCTCAGACAACATAGTTTATATAAGCATCATATAAGTAAACGCTTATGCAGTCAAATGATGATCAAGCTTCCCAAAAATCCAAAGACTCGAAAGGTGAACTAAACATGGGAGTCTCGGTACTACAGACTAAATATAAGTACACAGGCAAATTTTCCCCTTAATTCCAGTCCTCTAATTCGATTGAGAAATGGATATTATTGATAATAAATAAAGCAGAACTGGAACACGCGCTTTTTTGTTGAGAACTGCCATAATAAACTTCATTACTTATTATTATTTAAGCTTAAACTGGTATTTAATCTTATCATCAGAATAAGAAGATAATATTTGAGCAAAACTATTTGAGCAAACACTAGCTTCATTTTGTTTCTGCATACTTCAACTTACAATATTAAGTTGACTTCATATGTAATGCATTTTTTCATACAGTAACTTACTACTAATTGGCTACTCAAAATAATCACCTGCACAGGATCCTCATCCACTTTGACCTGTCCAGCGATCTCCATCATATCCAGGGCCAGATGACAGATGGATTTTGCATGGTGGGTGCAGGGCTCTGGAAGACCACTCACCGTCATGTATTTATCACCAACGGTCTCCACCTTTCAGAGAACAGAGAGAAACAAAAGACTTTGATGGCTTCAAATCAGAGACCTCCAGAAATAGCTATTGTGCCTGTGGTATGAGGTATCTCAAAGGATTTTCTTTTCTACGCTTGGATATTTTTAAGTTCTCTAGCCTAATTTTATATATAACACATTTAAAGGGCAACATGTAATAATATCTGTGTATTAATATTTTTTTATTGACAGTATGTGAACAGCTTTAACAAATGGCATAAATTAAAAGTATGTGACATTTACCAGTTCTCCAGAGAGAAATAAATGAAACGACTTCTTATAAAATGTTCAAAAGGATGACAGTCTTATAAACTACAGTCTTACAAAGGCAGGTCTATAATTTAAAATAAACTTTTTAATATTCAAACTATCATATACTTTAATTTTAATGACCTTATCTGTCCAACTGATTCCAGTGAACGTACAAATGTTCTGCCTAAATTCCACAGTGCTAGCGATTGTGCCAAATTACAAAAATTACATACTTAATTAATGTAATGACCATATCATATTTATCAAATACTGTAAATATTACAGTACATTATGAGCCATAAATGTGGAGATTGACAGTTTACAATTGACAGCTGTGCTATCCACCTTATTCACAATACCATAACCTTTTCTGATTTTAATTGTCATTTAATTTTCATTTGCAGTAATAATGTGTCAGTAAAATAGTTATTGTGGAAAGTCCTATCTATACAAATAAATTTGAGTTGAACAGCAAACATTTATTTGAACAGATAGTTCACACAAAAATTAACATTCTGTCATTTACTCTTTGTATATTTCAAACCTTGAGTTTCTGTCTTCAGTTCAACACAAAAGAAGATATTTTGGACATTTAACATCCATAGTATTTATATTTCCTACTATGGATTTCAATGGTTACAGGTTTCAGCTTTCTTCAAAATCTCTTATTTTTTAACAGAAGAAAGAAACTCATAAAGGGTTGAAACTTCTTAATAATAAGTAAATGTTAAATTCTGGGTGAACCATTCCTTTAAATAGCCCCTATTATGCATTAAAAAGGGTAACATTTTGGTTTTGTAGTTCTCCAACAACAGGCTGCTATGCATGCAAGGATTAAAAACACTTTCATTGTGATATAATATGCAATTATTTTAACCTAATTATACCAACAACTCCCAAACGAATCCTTAAGTGATTCAGGGGGTACACTATGCTATCCGAACCATGCCCGTGCCCGTTTCTCGGATCATTTGAGAAGTGTGAGTGCTCTGAATCCGGCTCAGGCACGGTTCACTTGGCCAGCCCTGACCCGGTTGGAAGAGGTGTGCCAGAGCACGGTTCACTTGGGTTCGGGCGCCTGAAACTGAAGATGAAACGTGACTTTTATGGGACTGTTTCATGTGAATTTATAATTCATTCATATTGTTCAATGAACGCAAACTGTTGTATATTATTAAAGACGCAAACCCCTCACTGCACGACAGCTGCACCTTCAGCAAATCTCCTAATTCCTGCAGCACAAGGACTTTATGATTGCTTATGAGGGTCAAAAGTGGCTGATGTGTTCAGCGAAATATTTGACTGCGTGTCACTGCATCCCAAACAACTAAAACAATATAACTAAAGAAATCTCCACTGTGGTGAGCGAAAGCGCTTACTTAACAGCGCATCATTGATGCTGTAAGGCCCAAATGTAATGTGAGTGCGAGCCGTCTGGGGAGACGGTAGAAGGGAAAAGCGTGCTTTGGCCTGGTTCAAGGCAGCTGTATATAGTGTGAGTAAACCCTCATTTGTTACCAAACCCCTGCTTAGTGCGATGCTAATCTGCGCTGATTGGTACGATGGCCTAGTCTGTTGTGATTGGTCGACTATATGCAGCGTGAGATATAGAAAAACAAGGAGGCAACCATTTTTAATCGCACTTACTTACACTTGTAAAATGGAGGAAGAAACTGATCCATGAAATGTGTAAAGTTCTTGTCAAGCTCTGACAAAATTCCATATAGTTTTTCTTATCTTCTTTTAACAAATGGTCGATGAATCCCATACTGTAAGCATGTAGATTGTTGAAGGACTCGTCAGAAAAATGACTAGAACACAGCACAGGGCTGGAGCTGTAATGCTGAGGTATTTTTGCAAAAATAAACCTCAACCACTGACTCTTCACAGCCTCATTTGGATAGGGAAAATAAATATAACTTTTAATAATAATAACTTTCCCTCACACTTCAGAGCACAGCGTCTATGCAACATGATTCCACCGGGATCTGCTACAGTGTTTGTATTCCTCTTTTTTCTTTGTACAATGTTTTTGGGTGGGGCCGGTGGTTTCAATTTTAAACAAGGAATGAATCAGTAGTTTTAAACACGATGGAAGGTCATTTTCATAAACCCATAATACGGGCTTTTTAGCAATTTGAATAAACACTGTTCAATATATATGCATACACAATTAGTTTGACAGTTATTAAATTAAATAAAGTTATCATGCAGCCTCGACTGCATGATAAAAAAAGCTTGAGATATGAATACAGCCAAAAAAAATAAATAAATAAAATAGCAGGAGAAACCTGAGCCAATTTTAGGAAATGTTGATTCATCCAAGTTTTCTTGATAACACGTTCTTAAACTCAAACCTATCTCGATAACTCTAAAACATTTTTTCAGAGAGAGCCCAGTCCTTCACGAGACCTCTGTTTGAACCACATAGATACTACTGACTTTAAGTAAATATTGCTTTTTTTGGTTATCCAGCCTTGAAATTCTACCTGCCCTTTTGTTTAGTTAGCAAAGCTACATGAAGTGCATTCTTGTCTGTATGCCTAGGGTGTAAATCATGCCCTTGCTTTTGAGAGAGCATTGAACATGATGTACAATTGAAAAACTACCAACTATAAAGTACGAAAGCTAAGAGACCTGCCCTTTTGGTCTTTACAGGAGTCTAACTTTCTCTGGCTGGAAAGAAGAAAAAATTATTTCGCAATCCTCTATTTTGGTCAAACTTTGGTTACACTTTATTTCATGGTGTTCTTGTTACAATATAACTATTCATGTAACTGAGTAATAATATTTAATTAAATGTACTAACTATATGCCTTATAATGTAGGTTAAGGGTGTTGCACATAATAATGCATAATTAGTTGTATTTACCATTGTAATTACATATAACATGTCAAACAAGTAAAAAAAAAGTGTTGCCTAAATTTGTTATTCCCAGTATTTTAAAGTAGTTTTGTCTTATTATGAACACGTTTATTTGATTCCGTTTAAGTTTGAAAAATAAATGAAATAGTAATTAGTCAAATATTTTCTGTAATATCAAAATATATCAAGATTGTTGTTTTGCTGCCAACTGTAATTACCAAATGTCTACCAAATCTACATGGAATCAAAAGGCTTGAGTTAAATTTAGTAAAGTTCATGTTTCTCTTATTTCCCAAGTGTTGGTTTAAAAAAAATGAAGTGTGCTCTTGGTTGCCTACAGCAAATTTTAATAAATGTAAAAAAAAAGTCAGCCCACATTAGATGATTCAATCTGGCACTTGACCTACAATAAGCTTCACACTCTGCTCTAAATATAGTCAGTCATTTATTGATCTAATTAGGTACATCGTAAAAGATTTATCATATAATGATGCATCATAAAAGATTTTTTTTGTCTTTGAACTTTGTAGCTGGCCTGTTGTAACTGGTAATTTTATTACATGAGTTGAAAGTGACACTTTTATTAGGTTTTCTTAAAGTGACAATAGGAATAACATTAAGCATTGTGGCTAACACACATTCTCACAAGCAATTGTTCATGTACCTGAGACCATTTTTTGTTAAGATATTTTTAGACCAGTCACAATTAGAAAGAGCAGTTACTTTTTTGTCCTTAATATCTCTGGACATGGCCAAAAATATCTCTGCATATATCTGTTAGCACGTTTAAGATGTTAGTATGTGCCTATTCATTTTAGGGCCTTTTCAGTATTCAGTAAAATTGAACACAGGTTCATTGAAAATCCATGCTAAAGCCTCCACTTTTATGAATCTGAGAAAACATACTTCAACGTAAGTTTAAGTGCAATTTCTAGACAAAATGAATGCAGCAGGGCAGTGGGATGCCAACAACTTTTGTTTCTTTTCATACTAATAATATTTACAGGGAAATAATATCTTTAATAATAATAATAATATTAATAATAATAATAATAATAATAATAATACTTAATAAATAAATAAATTATTATTTTCTGTGCAGTTCTTTGAACAAAACCACAAAACAACTAAAAGATGTCTATGGTTATTTACTGTACATATGGACTTATTTGGTGTGGTCAGTTTGCTCTGCAACTGTGTTGTATTTGTGATATAAAGCATTTTACAAAACAAAACAAAACAAAATAAAACAAAACAAAATAAAAATAAAATAAAATAAAATAAAATAAAATAATATAAAATAAAATAAAATAAAATAAAATAAAAAACAAAAGGAATGTATTTTCTAGTGGATTTTTCATCTGTGAAGTGCAACGTAACGTACCCAGAACAACATATTTTACATTTTGCAAAAATGTAGATTGAGGCACACATTTCCAATGATATTTACAATAACTTTCTTCCTAGCTTTTCCATCCTTCAAATTTCAGGGTCGAAATTTACTCACCTTATACACATAAGGATTCTTCCGAGAATCAGTGAGAATGTCAAATCTGGTGTAGATGTCATTGAGAAGGTTGACGATTTTGATGGCTCCCTCTGCAGATGCATGTTTGCTGCAGAATGCATTGAAGCCAACAATGCCACTAAAAAGAATGGTCACATTGTCGTATCGTTTAGCAGGCACAGGCCGCTTATGCCGCAGTTCATTGGCTACAGACGGAGGCAGAACAGAATACAGCAACCTGAAACAAAGACAGCATCATTAAAATGTGAACTCTTCTGTGAAACACATATATTCATTGTATTCAATGTCACTGAACAAAAGATGTTTGACTCATATTTTACTGGTTTGTGCTCTTTCAAAGCAATACAGTTGTTTGGCAAAAGGTTTGTTAAAAAGACTTAAATGAATCCTTTTGTGAAATTCATTTCAGCTGACCATAGAATAATGTGCATCATTTCATTCTTTTAGACACAGTGCTTCCCCTGAAGGTTGAGTGCTAATTATCCACAGAGCTGTTTGAGTACTGGCTCTCAACATTCAGACATTAATCCATCTGTTCTGTTTATATTTCATTCTACCAATGGAAAAAAACACAAATATTAACCTCTATAATCAAAAGGCATTTTAAACCTATTTTCATCACTGCATGATCATCATTATAGGCTCTTTATGAATATACTTTTCTTTTTACAAGCATATCTATTTCTGTTTAAGTCTATAATGCTTAACAAGGCTGCAGTGGTTACATAAAAATCACTGATATTCTCACCTATGAATTTTTTATATATTTAAAAAAAATTTGTGATGGAATGCAGAATTTTTAGTCTTCTTTGTAATAAGTCTTCTGAAATTGTTTGGTATTATGTGTTATTTTTGTGGAAACTGTGCTACATCTTTAGGATTCTTCAGAGGAACAGCAGTATTTTTGCATTTACAGTAAGTGTTAATCAATTCAGTGCATTAATTAGTTTTTAAATGATTTTCAATAAAGACATAAATCAAATTTTACTGACCTCAAACTGTGTATGTGCGTATGTGTGTGTGCATTGAACAAATAGTGTTCTTTTAACCATCTAATTTGTGGAACTTAATTAGCAACTTTTTTTTTTCTCTTTTTCTCAAAATTAATTCTTAATTCCCCAGATCAATGTTTAGCGTATGCTGTTTCGATGTTGCACGAATAAAACATTATTAAAACTTAAATGGTGCAGCTCCATTATTAATCTCAAAAAGCTTTGTGTTTTATTTCGAGGACCTTTCATAACAAGTAGTTGTATGAAGTCAGTTATAAGAACAACCCTCTAAAATCAACAACTGGAGAATGGAGGATGCCATAATTCAAGATAAGGTATTACAACATAATGGTACATTGATGTATAAGCATTGTAACAAAAATGTAGATTAAATCAGCTATGACATCTTGTAGTGCTAAATATCACTGTGGCTGAGAAAATACAATCCGAAGTAGCAGCTATATTGTGAAAGCTTCTAATTAGAACTAGTTTGACTCAATTGTTAGCTAACCAGAGAAATAAGCATTTGTCTCTGGTTAAATGAGCATTTTTCAGAATATTTTAATAGTTTTAGTATTCATTAAGTTTTACTTAAGCTGTTAGCGATGTCTTGATTATTTAATCATTTATTTAAATACATCTGTCATGGAAGGAGGTTATGACAGCCTTTGTAAAAACCATTACAAAAAAAAACATTTCAGGCTACAACTGTAACTATGGTTCACTTAAGGGAAAAAATGCTGCTAATGAGAACATTTTGTGTTTGTCGAAGTCTTGAAGCACATGTGTAATCACTCCAATAGAATTGGTGGTAAATCACTGCTTCACGTGATGTCATATCAGGAAGCTTTATACAGCCTGGGCTTTTGTCAAAACAATGGCAGCATCTTGTTCCCCTCAGGGAACCATGGTTACAGTCGTAACCTGGGACGTTCCTCTTCATGGAACTTTGACGATGCTTTAAATATCGCCCCAGAAGTCTTAGACTGATGGCTGAATGAATGACATTGTTCCTTTGCGTGATTTTGGCACAATTGTATCTCCATATCCATGATAGCCACCACTGAGCGGTCAATGGCCTTGGCCACCTCATTGGTGGTGCAGAGAGACAGGTCAGAGGCCCAAAGAAGTTCTCAACTGTATTTGGGCCCCATCATCAACTGAGGTCATTGTAGATGATTTTTCAAGTTGGAGATAATGAGACAAATGTTCCTCCATATGAGTCATTAATCCGACATAATGTTATGTGGGCTGAACAGGCCTACAGATTTCTTATTTAATATTATTATATTAATTGCAGAAACATGAGCAAAAAATCTGCATCAGCACCTCATATTTGGGAGATTGAGGTGGCAGATCCCATCTCCCAAACAAAGGCTCATTTCATCCTCCTCGGAGGAGGAGACAAGACAACTCTAAAGGACAGAAGTGGGTAAGAGAGAGACGCAGATATTGCAGATAAGAGAAGAGAAAGAGCCCTCGGACCTGTCTCTGAAGAAGATTTCTATTCTCTCAGTGTGTAGTATTTTCTAAGTGTAAAGCAGTTAATTTTCTCTTCTCAAAATGTATGTAGTGTTTGCAGCAAACATGCCAGCGTGTGTTAAAAATACAGTGATATGTCTGTGTAAGATGAGAATGCCTACAGAAGCAACACTAGGAGAAGGCTGAGTGACTGATTGTGTAGAATAACTGAATATGTAAAGCGCTGATTATATAGGTTAAATACTTCTATGAAGCTATATGTGTCAGAAGTTAGAATGAGTAACATATTATCAAGTTATTATCCTATCATAACAATGTATGTAAACACTTAGTTCCTTTGCATAAGTTGCATCTATACTTTGCTGACATAGACCTGTAACATCTCTGCTGACATGAGCTAGTGGGCTGAGAGCCAAGAATAGCAGGACCCCTTAGACTAGAAAACCTATTCAAAAATGGTCAAGAGTTTAAAAGAGACTTAGGGGTGTGTCAAATAATCCTGTATAAAAATTGTAACAAACACAGATACTTCAGAAGGTGCAGGAGAGACTTCAGAAGGTGTCCAGGAGAGACTTCAGAATGCTCTGGGGTCTGCTCTGTTCTTTCTCGGCTTTATTATGGAGAATAAAGTCTATTTTCTGATATTCAAAACCTCTGGTCTGATAATTTGTAATTGATAAGTCAAAATTTACGACATCTCTAACCTCTCTGCTATATTCATTTGTGAAACTCGTGACACATAGCATTGATATTTGAAGCATTGACGAAGTTCCTGGAAGCAAAACTAACCATTACAAAAAACCAATTGGATTTGATTCATATTGTATTCTTAGATTTGAACATTCCAGTAAAAAATGCCTTTTGCACAATTTACTGTACATATTTGCATATTTTTTTATTTGATCAGTGATTATTATATAAAAAAAATAAGATAACATGAAATATTTAATATGTCTGACCAATAAATGTTTTCTGATTTCTGTCTTTCTGTTCATCACTGTAAAGCAGCTTTGACACAATCTACACTGTGTGACTTTATTATTATAGTAAGGTTCAAGTAATAGTTTACAGGATTAGCTAAAATGCTATCTTTTTAATCCCAAACAAATTAGTTTTCCAATGTATTCAGTGAAAAATTCTGGGAAAACATGTCTTTCTCTCTCTCCCAAATAAGTTGGTTGTATTGCCATGGTAACTGACTTAAGCATTACTTTTTTGGACAAAACTCCTAAATGTGTTAAATTATGGATAGCAATTGCCGGGTTTGCTGCAGTTAAGACCTTGTTGCAAGAATACAAACAAGCTATTTATAAAAACATTTCACATTATTGCTCAAACATCATAAATAATAAAAGCTGTACTGGCCCTGTATGCAGTCCAAAATAAATAAATAAACAGCCTGATTCACAGTAAATACAAATGGTCAAAAGCTATTTTCCTAGAGGTGAAAACCACTAGTACAGAATTTGCATATAAATAGCATGTCCTAAAATTCTATTCATAAACCTTAAAAAAATGGCACAATCACATCTCAGTGTCCTAAACTGACCAACTGTACAAGTTCAAGTGCAGAACATCTGCTAGTGAAGATAAGCCGCACTTTTCAGCACATTTAGAATACAGCCCATTTGTTCACCTGTTATCAACAGGTCACAGACATCCAGGTTTCCAAGAAATGCACGTGGGCTACTGAAAAAAACGGCAATGTACATTTGAAATCGACTGAAATAACATGTATGCTTAGAAGGACATTACCATGTCAGCTGCTCACATTTCACTCACATTTTACTCACATTTACTACGCAATTTGGGACATAAATGAAAAAATTACCTGGGGTCCGTTCTTCGGACCTCACTTAAATGATCTAAGATAATTTGGCAGATGCTTGATCTTTTAATCTTGATAACTGATCTCTGGCTAATTTGGTTCTTTAAACAAGTTGGCGAATCAGATTAAAATGTCTGGATGAACTGATCTGAGATTGCTGTGCGTGTTGAGAAGGACAAATCCATCAATCCTCAAAATCATGATCAGCAATGTGACGATTGGCTGATGGCACAGCAGCGTAATAACATTGATTCATTTATTTTTCGGCTTAGTCTCTTTATTAATCCGGGGTCGCCACAGGCAGCGGATGCCCTTTCAGCTGCAAACCATCTCTGGGAAACATCCATACACACTCATTCACACACATACATGGATACCAGCGACCTTCTCGCTGTGAGGCGACACCACTACCTACTGCGTGACTGTTTATAATAACATCATCTGATTAATATTCAATTATCCATGTGAGCAAAATTATATAAAATTCATAATAAACGGTTATTTAAATATGATTTCCACATTTCCACATTTGTTGTGAGCTACAGGCTTTACTTTTTCATGTGTGAAGAGTGTTTGGCAATTTATTTAGTTTTACAGTTAGAGCAGATTTTCTTTATTATGGTAGTCATAGTTGTTTTATAGTAGCTGGTTTCTAAATAGGTGTAAAGAATAAAAGGATGTTTAAATTAATTAAGCAACACAAAAGCATTTTGATATTGGTAAAGGTGTCTGCAACTTTTGTGAATCATCAAATCACTGTCATATTAACCGTTAAAACATGTTCATGACTGCATAAATGTATTATTGCTTTTTTTGAAGTCACATATTGTGCATGTCTATTATTTACATTTACATTTACATTTAGTCATTTAGCAGACGCTTTTATCCAAAGCGACTTACAAATGAGGACAAGGA